GCCAGGACGCGTCCTGGGAAAATGGCACGTATGGTCACCCTAGTATGTGTGCTATCAGGGTTCGCTCTGGTCTCTACTGTAACTGTCTTCAGCTCGCTTGTTGTTCATTTATCAAGTGTCTAAATTGTTTCTGATCTCAGAATGATTTCAGAGTTTCTCTAAAAGCTTTATATTGCAGGAACAGATCACCTGCTATGACTATGTGTAGAAAAGTGTTAACTCTGATATTTTCATATGATTAATATACGCACTCAATAAATACAAACATATTCATCGATATTAAATATCTGTGTCAGGAACAGGAAACTGCTGTAATCATATCAAATGTTTATTATAGAATAGAATAAAACAAAATAGAACATCAAGAGTGGATATGAACATCAAACATCAATCAAATATTCAAATTAAGATTCAAAATAACAAAGTTCAGTATTTGAGGAAGACTGATTTTAAAAACCAGTAATCAAACATCCTGTTCATCTCTCCTGGATCTGATGTCATAAACCAGAACAACAACAGCAGCAGCAGCAGCCACGCCCACCAGAGCAGTGACGACCAATCGGATCACAGCTTCAGTAGAACCACAACCGCGGACAGAGTCTGAGCAATAAAAACATCAAACTGATCAGCTCAGTCAATAATGTTAACTATCGGTTGCTGTTTTATTTGTCATAAGTTTAAAGTAGCTCTAAGTATCATTTAAATTGCAATCATGGTAATATACCCAGATTGCACAGGCACGTCTGCAAGAGGTCTGTTAAAGATCGCTTCATCTGGAAAGCATCTGCTGTGTACAAACATCTGATAGACGTCTTTAAAATGTCAGTTTTACATACATTCTAAATCATTAACATCTTAACCTGACAGCACACGTACATCACGGAGATGCCTATTTGACGTCTGCATTACATCTGCAAGACGTATTTTTTAGAGTGTTTGCTCATCTGTAATACGTCTATAGGACGTTTCCTATCAGATGTCAAATAGATGTTTATAAGATGTTTATGATGTAAAATTGACATCTTAAAGACGTCTATCAGATGTTTGTACACAGCAGATGCTTTCAAGATCAAGTGATCTTTAACAGACCTCTTGCAGCCGTATCTGCTATCTGGGTAAAAACGATTAAAACATTATTACATTCCAGATTTATTTTTAACTTTCTATTTCAGATTGTTTGTAAAATTCTGTAATTTTAATCAGTCTTGGTTGCTCAATGTTTTTTTAAATGTTAAATTTTTACAAGGCTATATTGACCAAATAAATAAATACGTGGATATGAAATATTGATTTGACTTTATTTTATATTTTTACCTGTATATTCCACTTATAAGAACAGTCCATTCCAAAGTACAAAACAATCGGCTTAGCAAAAAGAAAGACTGGGCTACAATAACATCCACAAGCAATACTCAATATCAATACTGAAGTAATAGCACACGTACGTCTACAAGATGTCTGTTAAAGATCGCTTCATCTGGAAAGCATCTGCTGTGAACAAACATCTGATAGACGTCTTTAAGATGTCAGTTTTACATAATAAACATCTTAAAGACATCTTATAAACATCTATTTGACATCTGATAGGAAACGTCCTATAGACGTATTGCAGATGAGCAAACACTCAAAAAAATGTCTTGCAGATGTTAATGCAGACACCAAATAGGCATCTCCGTGATGTACGTGTGCTATCAGGGTGAGACACAAAATGGTGCCAGATGCGTTTGTATGAAATTGAATCAAGAGAGCGCAAGTTCTCTGTGATATACAGCGTTGCTATGGATGACGGCGAATATAAGAAAACACTTGAATGCAACTATTGACCAATCAGAATCGAGATTTCCACAAAGCGGTGTAATAAACTCTAATATCAGCGCTGCTGTACCTAAACATGTGTGACAGAGTTGAGTGATGTCCAGATGTTGAGTCTGGTTGCTAATGGGATTGTTGAGAACACAGCTGTAGCTGTTTTTATCCTGATATTCCACCTCCAGAGGTAGAGAGAGACTGATGCTGAGATCAGACACACTGATGCTGGACAATAAACTGTTTCCTTTGTACCAGGAGAGAGTCATGTGACCCACATTCAACACTGAACACAACAGTGAACATGATGATGATGAAGATGAAGAACAGTCTCTGCTGATGACAGGACAAGGCAGACGAGCTGGAAACATGAGAGAATAAATGAACAGCAAGTAACTAGGAGGCTGTTTCATTTTGAGTGAAATATTAGTATGCATCTTAATTATTTTCTCAAAATTTATAATGGATTCACATGTACCAGGTTCATACTGTCAAACAGAAAAATGCCATGGACTAATTACCAAATGAAAGACCATTTTAAAAAACATGAAAAATAAAGTTCATCAATGAATGTGTATGTTATCTTAAATGACTAATTGATTTGTTTTATAATTGTTAATTATTTGTATAAAATTATATGAAGCACAAATGACACTGTAATTGTGACTCACCATAGACAGTAACATTGAATCTGTGTGTGGTCAGTGTCATGCCATCGATTACTTGATAAAGTCCAGAGTCTGTGGTTCTGGTGTTTGTGATGCTCAGAGATCCAGTCTGATGATCCAGCTTCAGTCTGTCTCTGAATCTCCCATCAGGACCATCATATGTCGAAAGGATTCCAGCCTGTTTATTGATTTGAGCTATACGAGCCTCTGGACGTCCAAATGTCCACATTATCAGATCATGTGCCTGTAGTTCAGTAACACCAGATTCTAGAGAGACTGAATCTCCCTCCATCACTGACACTGACTTCACTGCATCTGAATCAGCAAACACACCTGAAGAACAAACAGAAACACAGGGTTTGTCACAAAAGTAAACGAAAATTATAAAATCCAAACAAAACTGAGTCTTTGTGGTGATTTTGAATAAAACTAATTTACTGATGCAGGAACTGAAGTCATCATCACACACAGAAAACACTTTTACTGCAGATGAGAATCACGTCACAGCTGGGCCGTTCACACTGAACGAGTTTTTCCATTACAATGCGCTACTTTTCCATAGTTTTTCCAATGTCAGCTTTTACTGTGTCAACTTTTACACGCATCGCCGCTCATTAATGCCAGTTCCAAAACAGTGGACCAATCAGAAGAACCCGGAGGCGGGGCATGCGTTGCAAGCTTTTGTTTACAGTAGGAAGTTGGCATGGCAACTGTAACGATAATGATACTTTTAAAGGCCAGTCTCGTTGATATCGATACCGATACAATAGTACTAAACTGAACTTTTAAATGATGAAATATATGAGGGGGCAGTCGTGGCCCCATACATGGCCACACATCACATCCTTTCCTCTCCTTTCCTTTTTTAAATGATTAAATTACTGAGCGTAAAATGGGTAATGATACCCACTTAACTTTATATTTGAAATGCATTTTAACATTCAATATGCTTTAATTGCAACTTATTAGGTTATATTTATGTTACACATGGTTAAAATATGTTTACTGTAGCGGTAACCATGGAAATCTACAAATACTATAGTTGAACTACGGTCACTTTAGTAAAACCATGGTTCATTTTCATAAAAGACTGCCAGTGAAAGGCTGTTGCACGCATAAAATGCAACCTTTTTATTCTGACAGTGTATTATTTATACCAACATTACAGAATAGAACATGATAGGGTGACCATACGTCCTCTTTTCCCCGGACATGTCCTCTTTTTGGACCTACAAAAATGTGTCCGGCCGGGAATTCTTAATCGCCCAAAATGTCCGGGATTCAGCCGTTTTCTTAATCCCACTCCCGCTGAATCTCTGACCACTGCCGCCTGCTCCCGCAACGTGTTTCGCTCCCGCGATTTTCGTGTCCACTCCTTTAAACATTCTAATATTGTATATAATTTTGGCACATCAGGGAGTATTTAAAAGTATAATATTAGTATTAGTATTTAAAAGAGATTTAAATCTCTTTTGAATAAACGTTCGCGCTGTTTACTTTCACTTTCGATTTCGCAATCACACGCACTCTGTGTAAAGGGAGCACATCTTACAAGATCAGATATCTGTCAATGAGCTCAGGATCTGTTTAGCAGCAAATACTCCAGCATGGTCTTGTCAGTCATCTCTCCTTATTCTCGACCTGTGTTCAGTCAAAGCTGACTCCTGCAGCTCTTCTTGGATGCAGGGTTGCCAAGTCCACGTGTTTTCCACGGAATTGGGCTACTTTTAAACTGTTGCCATGGGTTGATTTTCCCAAGTGGGTTAAAGGTTTGAAATATTGCATAAATTACATTTGACTGAAATGATTGTATTGAAAAATGTTGCATTCTACCTATGATAGAACTTTCATGGACTTCTACATTAACTGTTCCCTCCTGGTGGAATGACCTTAATGAGTCC